AATAAGAGCAATGAAAACACAAGTAATGTTTTTAAAAAAAAAAAACATAAGAAGAAAAATGACAGAAAAACCAGTAGGAAACAACACACTTCCCTCTGTCTTTGATCGATTAGGAAAAACAATAGAAGTTCTAAAGTGGATAATATAGATCTGGCCAGTCGTGGCAGCTCACACCTGTAATCCCAGCACTTTGGGAGGCTGAGGTGGGAGGATCACATGAGGTCTGGAGTTTGAGACCAGCCTGGCCAACTTGGCAAAACCCTGTCTCTACTAAAAATACAAAAATTAGCTGGGCATGGTGGTAGGCACCTGTAATCCCAGCTACTTGGGAGCCTGAGGCAGGAGAATCACTTTAACCTGGGGCGGGGGGAGGTTGCAGTGAGCCAAGATCACACCACTGCACTCTCCAACGAGGGTGACATAGTGAGACTCTGTCAAATAAAAGGAAAGAAAGAGAAGAGGAGAAGGGAGGGGAGGAGAGGGGAGGGAAGTGCAGGGGAGGGGAGGGGAGGGGAGAATGGAGAGGGGAGGCGAGGGGAGGGGAGTGGAGGGAAGGGGAGAGGAGAGGAGAGGAGAGGAGAGGAGAGGAGAGGAGAGGAGAGGAGAGGAGAGGAGAGGAGAGGAGAGGAGAGGAGAGGAGAGGAGAGGAGAGGAGAGGAGAGGAGAAAAGAAAAATATTGGCCAGGTGTGGTGGCTCATGCCTTTGGGAGGCTGAGGTAGGCATCACCAAGTCAGCAGATCGAAACCATCCTGGCTAACATGGTGAAACTCTGTCTCTACTAAAAATACAAAAAATTAGCCAGGTGGTGCCTGGTATGGTGGTGCCCACCTGAAGTCCCAGCTACTTGGGAGGCTGAGGCAGAAGAATTGTTTGAACCAGGAGGCAGAGGTTGCAGTGAGCTGAGCTGGCACCACTGCACTCCAGGCTCGGTGACAGAGTGAGACACCATGTCAAAATAATAATAATAATAATAATAATAATATAGATCTAACTTTAGATTCACACAGTTTTCAAAAGTAGTTAACATTTACCAGAAGAAAACTTTTCCTTCATTCATTCAATAGGTACTAATAGCTTACCTGTATGCCAAATGCCTCTAGTACCCTGACTGAAACATAATGCTATTAAATGTTAGAACATGAGAACCCAGGACACCCCCAAATCAGAAATATATCTGACTATAGTCTCTGATCACAATGTAACAAAACTGGAATTGAACATACACACATGTGCACGCACACACACACACAAACACACACACACAAACACACACACACACCTTTTCTTAAGTATTCCTGGGGAAAATTGCAATCAAAACTTAAATTAAAAATACTTAGAAATTTTTAAGTGAAAAAATTATAAATTAATGACAATGAAAGTGTGAGCTCTAAAAATGTATGAGGTATAGGCACAGTTTAACTCAGATGCCAATACCTAGTTTTAAATTATTTCATTATTAGATAGGAAATATTACAATTTAATCATCAAAGCACTCAATTCTAGACAGAAAGGTAAAACAGCATAATTTAGTAAAATACATTTGATCAGGATAACAAAAGTCAAAAGAGACTTTAACTCTTACCCTAATAACCAAAACAAATCAAGTAAGTTGCAACATCATAAATTTTAAGCCAATTAGGAATCTGAAGATACAAAGAAATCTGAATAAATTAATTCAGTAAATGAATGAGCCAAGCCTTTCATAGGAGAAAAAAAGACCACAGCTGCTTATGTTTCTGGCATAATGATAGGAATGAGGACAAATGTACCACAGATGGGTTGAAGGAGGAATGAACAGAACTTTTAACAAACTTTTAACCACCATATGGCATTACACACTAGAATTCAAAGAAGCCCCAGTCAAAGTGTATCTACACCCGCATGCCAACACTTTCCTATAGTTCTTTACCTGGTACAAAAAGAAAGCCCCAGCATCCCAAAAAGCTGGCAGTCAAAATATAGAGAAGAGAGAGATCACCGATAGTTAGGAAATCTGGTGGTTCACCTGTAAAGCACTAAACAATTTTTGGAACCTTGCCAATGTATAATCCCGAACACTATTGAAGGGAAAGTCCTGATCCCACTTTCAAAATGTTGAAGCCAATAGTGAACTGAACCAAATGAAAGGTGAATAAATGAATGACTGAATGAACAACTCTAGAATGACAGATAACCACATTAACTTAGGTGCTCCTCCAGCAGCTGGCAAAAGAAGTAGCACGCTTTTCTTAGGAGGTAAATACTAACTTCAGTGTCTAGTATCCTTTTGTGCAAAATGTTCTCTATGTAATCGAACATTATGCGACACATAAATAAGCATAACACTGTGGCCCGTGGTCAAGGTAGAAAAGTAGCAACAGAAGAAGACCCAGGAATTGCTTAGAGGTTGGAATTATTAGATATCATCTTCAATTTATCTGTGATCAAAATGCTAACAGATCCAGAGAGAAATGTAGACCACATGCATGAAGAGATAGAGAATTTCAGCAAAGAGTTGGAAGTTATATGTTTTTTTAAAAAAGTTTCCAACGACAATTCTAAAAATCGAAAAGAGTATCAGAAATGTTCCAGGGGAGTATCAGAACATTCTCACCTTCTTCCTGATGTTGAGGGAGATGCATTTAGTCTTTAACTGCTGAGTGTAAGGCTAATTGTGGACTAGTGGGAGTGGCTTTTTTTTTTTTCAGATGTCCTCAAATTGGAGAAATTCCCTTTTTGGCTTGCTGGGAGTTTATTTTATGATAAATGAAGGTTGAATTTCATCACATGTCTTTTTTTCATCAATTGTGATAATACAGTAAGCATCAGAAGCGGGATTCTCCAGAACGATTGAATCATGAAAGCATGGTGAAAGCATTGCTGGGAAGAAGTAGGAGGAAGCAAAGAAAGATGAACTTTTGATGCCTAGGTAGCTACCAAGTCCCCTTGGGTATGAGACAGCAGCCATGCTATGATCAGTTACTAGAAGTAAAAGTTACCAGTAGAATTTAGAAATGATAGACCCAACTCCTAAGTAGTTTGCTCACTGGAGACGTAAGAAAATGCAAAATAATGATAAACAAGCTAAATATACAGTCCTTTAGTTTTTCTTTTATTTGTAATAAGTAAGTTCAAAATAAAGCAAAATGTTGGGGTAGATACTGTTACTGCATCAAACTTTGGTTTGGGACAATCTGAGCTACAGCCTGTAGTGTTAAAGCCACTACGAAAGGGAAAAATTATAGTGGAAAATACTGCGACTCTGGTCACCAACAAGATAGTCAAGGTGGTGGGAGGAAGCAAAAAAGCTACGGAAACCAGGGAGCGAAATGTGAAGGAGTTGTCTCATTTTGTAGATCAATATCATCGGCTTCCTGGAAAACCTTTACTGAATGGATCGAGTGACTAATTTAGAAGTCTCCTTAGTTTTGAATGTTGCAAAATGGAGGAGTGTGGATTGATGCAAGATGTATAGCTCACCATTTAATAATGGATGACTACACCAGTCCCCTGTGGGGAGGCCAGGGACATAGCTGGCAAGTAGACTACATCAGACCACTACTGGTAACACAGAGGCTATCCACGCTCTCAACAGGAAAAGACACTTACATGGGACAGGGCTTTGCACACTTGCGGTAGGCACAAATGCTCAAAACAACACAAAGGAACTGAGACAGAACATCCTACGCCAGTTTGCACCACCAGGCTGCATTCCTTCAGACCAAATCACACAGTTTATAGCTGACAGAATGACGACAATTTAATGATTGTTCTTAAAATGTAACAATGGCTTCTATATCTGCATTTTTTAGTATTTAGAATTTGATTGTAATGAACATTTACATAACCATGATAAACCATGTACTATTTTATCAACATGAACGCCTTTATAAATCTTATATAACCCTCATATTTGCTCTCCATGTTCTTTAAACTCTCATAAATTACATCTTTTTCATAAACTGCTTGGTTTCTAGAAAAGTAGCACACATAGCAAATACACAAGAATCTATAATGATATGAGCATGATAACAGAGAGAAACTAATTACAGGGATTTTAAAAGGAAAATTCAAAAGGAAGGTGGGAGGGGAAGCAAAGAAAGAAATCATTTAAAAAGACCATTCAGCAAAACCAGTAACAGGAAACAGGAAATGCTTAAGGCACTGATACAGCAGCATTTACATCTGTATCTCCAATTAACTTTCTATTTGATGCCTCAGGGAGTCATAACTCAGATCCCTGGGGTACATTATTTTTGAAGGTTGGTTTACTTTCCTGTCATTTTTTTCAATTATTAAACTCATCATTAATGACATTTAAAAAATATCGGGGTCCAAAGTGGCTCCCGCCGGAGGTCATGGCGCTCGCGAAGACGAGGTCATCAGTTCAAGGCTAACCTCATAAGCTCAAACTGATTGGCAAAAAAAATAAATAAATAAATAAAAATAAAAATAAAAAATATCTAACATAGACACAAAATTACTTATCATAAGAATTTGATTGTTTTGTAAATGAATTGCTTGAATACTTTGATTTTTACTGAGTATGGTAGGAGATGAATGAGTCTCCTGTCTATTTATGAATAATTAATTCATTAATGATAAACATTCATTCCTTCATACTTGACAAATGCCCCCATTGTGTACATTTTTCCCATACAGTGATGGAGGAAGTACCAGAGAAGCTACAGGCCTCTCTCAGGCCAAGATCATCCAGGGATTCATGTAGCCACCTGTGTAAAGGCTGGCAAGAATATTTAAGTTTATCTAATTGAATGTCCTCATTTTGATATAGGATAAGCTTCAATACCACTGATACTCAGAATGGTTAGTTGCAAGTCTAGAGCGAAGTCACATCTTCTCACCATATTATTTTTCTACTCTCCACTTCACCTACATTTCTTGATCCCTCATATTCTGTGTTGAACTGAGAATCAATTTATATTACTCAGGATTAGCAAACAGAAATGATAGAATGTGTATGTATATATAAAGAAAGATACTTATTGTAAGAAATTACCTCATGTGATTATGGAGGCCGGCAAGTCCCAAATCTGTAGTGTGTATCCACAGGCTGGAGACCCAAGAGAGCTGGTGATGTAATAAAATCCAAGGGCATCTGCTGAAGAATTCTCTCTTGCTCAGGAAATTTGGTCTTTTTGCTCTATTTGCACATTCAGCTGATTGTGTACGGCCCACCTGCACTATGAAGTGAGATTTGTTTTACTCGAAGTTCACAGATTATTAATCTTATCCAAAAACACCCTCCAACCTGACACATACAATTAACTATTACACAATTCCTCAAACAAATATCTTCCTGGTAATACACTGCCACTGATCTTTGCTAAAGGTGGGAGATTTAGACAGCAGACAAAACTTAGTTTCACTCCTTTTTTCTTCCCTGTAGTAGGTAGAGTTGAAGCCTAGAAGGGAGCAGTGTTGAGCATCCTAGGAGATGTCCAGGAAGAAACAGAACCAACCAGATGTGGGAACTAGAGAAAACAAAACACCATAAACTTGAAGAGAATAAATATTCTCAAAATACAGGTATTTTCATATCCCAATAAGTCATCTACAGTAAGGATATTTAAAATATGTAAATTCTCACATCCCTCAGTACCAAACTTAACTATTTAAAATCACAATTATTTCATATTCATAGAGCCAATGGGATGGCCAGGTTTCCTAGAAATAAGATTATCAAATAGCAAGATGATATAAATTGAGCTATTCTCAGGTCAGTAGTAGCAGTCAGTGGCCCACAAGCAAAATGCAAGCTGTGTGATAAATGCCATGAAGGTCACAGAAAGCTGAAAAGCTTAAAGGCAGGTGGAGAAACTGCATTCGAGAGTTAAGGGAAATTCACACAAGGATCCCAAAAATGCATCCACCTTGAGAAGTCCCATAGGAAACTTTCATTCAAAGTCTTAAACTGTACGGATAAGGGATTACTTTAAAATGTCAAAATTCCATCTCTGTAGTTCTGACAAGGATTGATATTTATGACAATGAAATTATATGTAAGTATTACCATTAATTATCTTCCATTTATGTCTTCTGGTTTATTTGGCTTTCTGATTCATACTTATAAGCATTAAGTTTACTTTGAATACAATTCAAGGACAGTGCTTTATTGCAAAATAACTTGCATATGAAACTAGTCTTTTTAGGGGCACCATCTGTTGTTCGTGACACTTTAAATGAAGGAGATTTCAGTTGCTAAATATTCCACAGAAACATATGAAAAATATTCAAAGGGTTTGGGTTTCTAAGAAAATACAATATCCCCTAAACATGAAATAAAACCCTTTCTTCAAAGGGATGGAATAAAAAATAAATGTTTAATTATATTTGATATATATAGACCTTTTCTGGAAAAGCAAAATAGAATGTGAATTAGATAAATCTTTTTGCAATGCAAGTGAAATGATGAAAATTAGTGATATTCTTATTTATAATCATGTAAGGATAGAAACAAATGGTGGTGAAGCAACTTGCCCAAAGTCAAGTGGTTCTGAAAAGGCCATTTAATTTGTTCCGCTTTACTCAAGATGAAAATATCAGTCAATTGTTCAAGGACAGAGTTGAGCCTTGGAGGACAAGTTGTCTAATGGAATGTCTTTGGAGAGTTTATTGAGACTCACTAGGCCTTTGTGTCTCACTTTTAAATACCGTAAATATGCAAGAACATCTCACAGACATAATTGATGAATACCAGTTTAGATTTCAAAGTCCTTGCAAATAAGAAGTTATCTGATAAATGTTAGGCATAAAAGCACCGATTAGTAATGTTTTGAGCTGCTTGGATGAAGGGTTTTCATGAACAGCTCAGTTGTACTATTACAAAAGAATTGGAGCTGCCATCTTTTGTGAACCACTTTAATCTATAACAATCCACCCTGTCAATAAACCAGTTAAACTGTGGCTTTGCTGGAGAGCTGGGGTCAGAAAGTATTATTGTAGATTGTCATTTTGCTCTCTACATAGTGCACTACACATCATTTTAAAATGATATGCTGTGCTCAATATTTTACATGACTGGAGGATAACTCTACACTTGAATTTATTGCCACACATACTTGCAGACAAATCATATAACCTTACTCCAACCATTATTTTCAAGATATCAGCTATCATAGCTGATGCTAAACCATTTTATATAAAATTCATTTTGTCTCATCTTTCATTTGCTATTTTATTACTTTATAGTCATCCAAACTTTTACAGCTGGAAATTTTTTGACGCCTTTACATACAATATAATTCTGTTAGAGTAGGAGGAGTAAAAAAAGAAAACCAACCAAGATTTGCACCCTTAGGAAAAGTATTTTAAGAGGTTTTTGGTTTTGTTTTTAACTTGGAGGTGCTATGATTTGGAGAAGAGCTTTGTGTCTTTGAATAAAAATTAATGTTGCCTTATTGCAAATACTGGTTTTCAATATGGCGAAGGAAAAAATCAGGACAGAAGCCATGTGTTAGATGTATCTCTGAATTGCTTATATCTTGTGTAAATATCAATTCATCCTGAATTTCAGTTAAATTTTAATTGTCCTCAACATTCTTCACAGTGACTATTTCAACACTTAAATTTCAACAATAATCTTATATTCAAGGTTGAAACCAACAACCTCACACAAAAAAATCAATGAGGTGCTTTCCAAAACACTATATTATTTACTACATAGAAGACTAAATAAACTGAGAATTTTCTTATTTAAAAGAAAGAAGGAAGTTAGCTCATGTAGGCAAAGATCATACAATGATTACAGAAAGTATCTCTTTGAAGTTAAAATATTGACTGACAGGAATCTAAGACAGATTTGTTCACAAAAGTTGTTTTTTTCTTCTCTGAAAGTGTTTTGAGAGTCTAGCAGTGTAATTAAGTGAAGAGAGACCTAGGTTTGTAAGTATAGTGACTCCTGTTCTATTTATTTTCATATGATTTTAATTGAACCTTTTAATATGATATAGGACACACTAACTAATTACTGCAGCTTCTAAACTTCTTATACCTCAAAGTCATTCAGACATAGTGTTCCATTTGGTTAGAAATCAAATTATCCAAAGCAATTGTGCACAATTACTTTGTGTGATATAGACTTGATTTATATGGCATATTTTAGCATTGAAGATTATATGCAAATAGATTATGATTAATGAAACATCATAGTCTCAATAACAATAATCTACATAGATCAAATACGCTTTTGCTTCACAGGCATTTACCTGAGAATAACCTCTGGAAGCACTGTGTATAGTATTATACCTCAGGTAGACATAAATCATAAAGACAATCCGGGGAGCAGAGGAGCCAGACATTTGTGTCTGTCTCACTCAGGTAAAGATAAAGTCCACATAACTTAAGGCAAATGGTATCTACTTCTCGTCCCTCTTCACACCTCCACAAAATAAAAATGATGACACTTGCCAAGGATCACAGGAATGCCAGAATATTAAAATATTATCTTGTTCATCTACACCATAAGAGTCTGAAACAAAATGTTCTATGCAAAGTGTACTAAGATGATTTTATTTTCCAATATAATTTTATATTTATTTGTAGTTATCCTGTAGGGAAAATAGGTCTCTAGTAAATTGGCTAAAATGAAGTCTTTAGTAAGCCTGTAAACTTACAGAAGGCCACAGAGGGAAAGTGATCTTAAAAATGCAGAAGCAACAGCTAAAGGCAAATAAGCCTCCAGTGTACTTTGTTTATGTAATTTTAATGGCTTGCAAGTGAAGAGTAAAGCAATAGGAATTATGTAAAAGAATAAAACCCAGGTAGATTATCAGAAAGAAGAATTAAAGATTTCTAGGAACCTAACATGTTAAATTATGCTAATAGTGACATTAATGATTAAGTAAAATAAAATAAAGTACTTACATAAAATCTAAAGAAACATTCAATCTTCAGGTACAAAGCACAGTATCTTTGCAATTGCAAAATCTATGACTAAAATGTTCGAGATCTTCTGTTCTCATGAATAGGTTTACAGACCACTTTCACAGCCACTTATTCCGTATGTAATAAGTAAAACATCCACCAAATTGTCTAGCAGTCCTTATTCAATGTATCCATGTTTTTAGCTAATCATACCTACTATGTGTCTGGCTGTGAGATAAGCTCTGATTAGGAATATTTAAAAATCTCTTAATATGATTTATCATTTTAATATTTCAAAGAAAAGAATTATCCTCTCTGATAATTCTTCAAAACCAATGCCTATTTTTAGCTAGACTATAAATTCTTTAGCTTAATTTCTAAAATAAGGTGTAAATATTAAAATGGAGGAGATAAATTTAACTTTATTTGCAAATAACATGATTTGAAATTCCAAATGCTCAGGGCACACATTCACCCTTTGAACAAATCACTGCACCTAGGAGTGGAGTGAGGAACTATTGATGGTCTAGTTTGGGCTATAGATCTTCCCCAGTAGGAACATATTTGGAATTTCCACTAGAACTCTATGGAGTAGATAAGATTAGTTCTGCTAAGGAAGAAAAGTGTTATTAGCAGAATATAGGGGAAAGAAATGCTAGATCATTTTTTAAGTCTTCTGTACTGCACTATAAAGATGGAGTACTTTGTACAATGTCTGCTGCATGATAAGTGCTCACTGAATATTAGTCAATGAAGTGGGGACCATCTTTCCCTCTCCAGATGTTTCTGTAAATTAAATTTGAATTTCTTTTCAGAAATGTTGAGAACACAGTTTTCTCTCTCAATATCTCTCCCATTAGAGAGGAAGATTACATGGCTGGTAAAGTTTAGAAAAACACAAAGCAAGAGTAACTCTCCCCTTTTGCAATATCCTGTGCCCAAGAGGGAGAGCATCCTTCTTGCCCCTGCTCCCATTGAGGTTATAGTCCATGACTTGCCTTCTAGAGGTCAAACCCACTTCTTCCTTTGGGTATAAAGCATGTTGATTCCCCATACATCTGGCCAAATGTCAAGTTCAATTCTTAGATGGTCACCTCAAATACTTTCTGTAAAGACAGGTGTCAAGAAATTTGACTGTAGTGGCAGCTCTATAGTCTAGATTTACCAGAAAAAAAAAAAATCCGTATTATGATTCTGTGTATGACTTGAGTCTATTTTTTGTTTGTTTGTTTAATCCAAACAGAGAAGGATAGAGCTGGGACAAATCATTAAATATTTAATTTAAAGACATGTTCAAGATCACCAGCATTAGCTGTTA